CGAGGAGAACTACATAGGCCCCCCGGCCGCCTGTGCAGCGGCGGCGGTCCCATCATGCCCCGGGGCGGCGGGCCACCTCTCATCCCAACGTGGCTCCCGTCTGTTGCTGCTGCTGCCGCTGTTGTTGTTGTTCATGAAGCCCCCCATGTTTCCACCAGGGCCCATGTCCATCCCCATGCCAGGGCCGGGGCCGCCGCCACCCCTGGCGAAGCCGCGGTCGTCGACAAGTACCCCGGGAGGCGGCGGCGGGCCGCCGAACCCTTGCGGCCGCTGCTGCTGCGGGTGGAATTGGTCTTCGCCGAACGCGTGAGGGCGCTGCTGCAGGTGGTCAGGGTGCGGTCGAAGCTGCTGCTGCTGCTGCTGCTGCTGCTGCTGCTGCTGCGGAAGCGGAAGCGGCCCGCCGCCGCCGGGTCCCCGGTTCCCCATGCCGTCCTGCGAGGACACCGGACGGATGGACGTAGGTGATATAACCGCAGTACATACAGTACACACCGGCGAAGGCGGGAAGAACGACAGACGACGGGATTGTTATAAGTAGTCGATTTCTTCTCATCACGGTCACCCGTTTTCTCACACACGTATGTAGCATCGCCCAATGCGCGACGTTCTGGGAACACAGCAGTAACACACAGCGTAAACATTCCAAGGGGCAGGGAGACCGTCTGTGTTAACTGTGTTAAGGACAGCCGCCAGGTTGCGACCGCCACCGCCACCAACACCGCCGCCACCTAACCCTCAGCCCGCCTGGCCAGCCCGGGGGTTGGAGTCCGAATTTTTTTTTTGCCCGAAAAGCCCAGCTGTCTTTTCGATCTAGACCTACCCCAGTAATCTAGTTCCACTAGTACTGCTCGTATACACATGCACATGTGCATACGGCGGGTCCACCATTTTATCTGTGATCCTGATCCTGCGTGGTGTCACTCGCGACCGACCGCTGGAGGACCACGATGAACGCACACTTTCTTGCGCCGCAAGGGAAACGTGCCGCCTAACGTAGGGTGCCGGTTTTACACATTTAGCCCGCGGCGGCGTACCTGTTGGTGCTGGTGCTGGTACAGTCGCCCGTCCGGCCCCATCCCGCCGCCGCCGCCGCCGCCGCCGCCGCCCCCCCCGTTCCCGAAGTCGTGGTTCGAGTTTGCCTGGTTGTCGTAGCCGCCGGCATCGTTTCCCCGCTGCTGCTGCTGCTGCTGCTGCTGCTGTTGGCCCCCCTCGTCCCCCGTCTTTTTGGTCTCTTCTTCTCCCTCCCGTCCATTCTTCTTCTCCTCCTCGAGCGGCTGCGCTTGGACGTCGTAAACGTCGTTGCCTGTACAGCGGCATATTTACGTCGTGGGGGCGACATATGAAAAATGGAGCAAAATACGCAACTGCAAAGCGAAATTGATCGTTACACCTTGGAGCGAACTTGAAAGCGGGAAAAACGAAAAGATCGGACAAAAGGCGGGCAAATGAGCATGCACAGCGAGGGGGGCGGGGATGACAACACCCAACACCCAGACTATCGTTCGTGTCCGTGATTAAGAAAAGAGCTCGACGGTACAAGGTGACATGGAATCACGAGTTTGATTCGTCCAACGCGATGATTCATAGTTTTCTCTCTCCTGCTCCCCAAACCCAAACCCTCCCCCCGCGCTCAACACGAGAAAAAAAAACACTCAACAACGGTAACTGCACTTTCCACATACCCAAAAGAGTTGGTATGAAGAACCTGCAGTTACACAGTCATCACAAATCCAATTGCACTTACACACACAACCAAGCTACGAAGTACTGACTTGCACATGCACACAACAAAAGCCAACCTGCACTTACACAAACAACGACATGGCCACCTAGAAACCCTGCACTTACCGAACGGGTCTTCCTCTTCCTCCTCTTCCTCTGCCGCCTCCTCCTCTTCCCTCGGCTCTAGGTCGAGAATCGCGTCCACCCCCTTTTGGGGCGGACGTTTTCGCTTGTTGCTGCCGCCGGCACCGCCGCCTCCCCCTGCGGCACCCGAGGCTGAGGACGTCCCGACCGCCGCCGACGCCTCTTCCCTGGGACGAGAATGAGAGAAGAAAGAAAACGGAGGGGGAGGGGTACTCATATTACGTGCCTGCCTCTTACAATATGATTTGCCGCTTTGCGATTGGCCACCCATTCCTCTCGGGAATGAGCAGTTTATACCTCGACGAGAATAAAACAATGGCAACAACATCACCAGCAACTCCAGCAACATCGACCACACCAGTAGCAGCAACAAAACCGACGGCAACAGCAACAACAGCAGCAGCAGCAGCAGCAGCAGCAACAACAACAATAACAACGACAACAACAACAACACCGACAGCAACAGCACAGCAGTAGCAGCAACAACACAGCTGCCGCCGCCGTTCTCGCAGCCCTCACTGAAGCCAGCAAAACCCCGCCCAGCCC